TGTTCAGCTGTAATATCGAATAAGAAATAAATAAATTGTTAAACCATGTCGACCGTAGCAAGTCCTTTGGCTGTTGGAGGTACACGAGAGCATGGAGCTTCCGTACGAACACAGAACGGTATACAATGGTTTAACTTGTGAAAATTTTGTTTAAACATTCATTCAACACCACGACGTATACTTGAATCAATATTTTTCCAGATGATTTTCATTAAATTCTCTTCATTTTTTATTTTGAAACGTATGAAAATATTATTATGAAATGATTAGAATTTGCAGTTAGAAAAAATAATGTATTATACGTTTAGCGGTATATGATACATGTGACAGTAGATGTTCCAACCTGTGCGAATACTTTTTAGATTTGAGTTACTTTATAAATGAAAATATTATAAAGAATATTCTAATAAGATAATGTTTAAAGTATATGCTTTCTTTTCTGAAAATGAAAATTAATATGTTGATCTTAATATTATTTAATGATGTCTGTATAGATTATTAATATTTGATGTATTGTATTCAATCGCTTCACACATATTTTTTGTTTGTATAGTCATGGCAACTTGTGCGATTGCTAATATAGTGAAGAGTTCCTTGGGTCCTGTTGGCTTAGACAAAATGCTGGTGGATGATATTGGTGTACGTATAGAATCTTTGGAAATGTTTCTTCTATTCTTTTTTTTTTTCATAATTTAAAGAGTAGTGATTAATACATTCCACACATCTAAAATCAAATGAGACTACCTTTCTCTTTAGTTTTATTTTCAATTTGGGGAAGAGGAAACAATTGCAGAGAGTTAAATCAAATTGAATGTATTATTTTTATGTTTAAAATAATATAGGATGTCACAGTTACCAATGATGGAGCAACAATCTTACGCTTACTTGAAGTTGAACATCCAGCAGCTAGAGTCTTGGTTGAATTAGCTCAACTACAGGATGATGAAGTTGGAGATGGTACTACATCAGTTGTAAGTTCATATACAGAATATTTAATTATTTTTTATGAGAATATTATTGTAAAGATTATATACGAATAAATTTATTTAATTAGGTAATTATTGCTGCTGAATTACTAAAAAATGGTGATGAGCTTGTAAAACAAAAAATTCATCCAACATCTATAATCAGTGGTTACAGGCTGGCTTGCAAGTAAGTAATCATGTAAGCTCTATTACAATAAAAAGCAATGATCTAATTTGTCATATTTATTACTTATGTTTCAGAGAAGCCTGCAAATATATTCAACAACATTTAACATTTAATGTGGATGAACTTGGTCGAGACTGCCTAGTTAATGTGGCAAGGACGTCGATGTACAGTAAAATTATTGGAGCGTATCCTTATTTCTGTTTAATGATTAGAACATTGATAAATTATTATCTATATAGATAATATATATGTTTGTTATTGTTACTACCGCTTTCGTTTCCTTAATTTATTGTTAGTGATACTGATTTTTTCGGAAATATGGTTGTGGATGCTGCTGAGGCGGTAAAGGTTGAAACTGGTAAAGGATATACATATCCTATAAAGGCAATTAATATTTTAAAAGCTCATGGGAAGAGCGTTCGAGAATCTGTATTAGTGCAGGGCTATGCACTGAATTGTACTGTAGCGTCCCAAGCAATGCCTAAAAGAGTAACGAACGCAAAAATAGCGTGTCTACACTTTTCCTTGCAAAAAACAAAAATGAAATTGGGTGTCGAAATACTAATCACAGATCCCGAAAAACTTGAGGCAGTACGCCAACGCGAAGCAGATATTACAAAAGAACGTATTCAGAAAATTCTGACAGCGGGTGCAAACGTTGTTCTCGTGTCTGGAGGAATTGATGATCTCTGTTTAAAGGTATGGTAATTGACATGTATGTTTTCGTATAGACTTTCATATATACCTCTTTCTGAAATAATAATTTTTTTCTGTGCAGTATTTCATAGAAAACAAAACAATGGCAGTTCGTAGATGTAAAGAAAAGGATTTGAAGAGAATCGCGATAGCTACAGGTGCACAATTCCTCACGTCTTTGACTAACATGGAGGGAGAAGAAAGTTTCGATTCTAGTTTCCTTGGAGAGGCAGCTGAAGTAGTCCAAGAAATGATATGCGATGATGAACTTATTCTTATTAAAGGGTCTGTTTTAATTATATTGTTAATATGGAAAAGTATTTAATCCTTTGCCGACGGGTATTTTACGACAAGACGTGAGTCGTTCGCAAAGGATTAAAATATTCATGTTATTTTTAACAGACCAAAAGCAAAGACAGCCAGTTCTATCATATTACGTGGACCAAATGATTATTACTGCGATGAAATGGAACGATCCGTGCATGATGCATTGTGTGCAGTCAAACGAGTTATGGAGAGCAAACATGTTGTCGCTGGAGGTGGTTGCGTTGAGGCAGCGCTTTCTATATATTTAGAAAATTTTGCTACATCTCTGGTAAAATAATTTAGTTAGGACGATATACAATATATCAAGTAAAACTTGTATTAACTTATTCAAATTTTGTAGAGTTCTGTAGAACAATTAGCTATTGCTGAATTTGCGAGATCACTGCTAGTTATACCGAAAATATTAGCAGTTAACGCAGCGCAAGATGCTACCGATCTCGTGGCCAAATTACGAGCTTACCACAATTCCAGTCAAACAAGAGAAAATGTTGCGGAATTGAAATGGTAATGTCTCGATGTATGTTTTACAAATATTTCAAGAAAAATAAGTATTCGTAAATAATGTATAAATATCTTTTTGTGCAGGACTGGTTTAGACTTATTCAATGGTACCATCAAAGATAATAAAAAAGCCGGTGTATTGGAACCAGCTATTTCGAAAATAAAATCTTTGAAATATGCCACGGAAGCAGCGATAACTATTCTCCGAATTGACGATATGATCAAAGTAGATCCAGATCGTTCAAAAGATAAATCGTATCATGATGCAATGGAAGCTGGTGAACTGGAAGGATAAAGTTAAATTGCATTTGCATAATCTATCTTTTATATGGTTCGTTATGGAGCAGAGATTTAAATTATTCTGAACTACGAATACCATTTCATAATTCAACGATAAAAAAAATGTTACACTTTAAGTAATTCACTCATTAATGTTAGTATATTACATTTGTATTACATTTTATGCTTCGTCTTAAAAATGAATCTACTGGTAACAAACAAAATAAAAGCTCTTACATATAATAGTTTTTAACCAATGTTTTATGTCCCCAGGAACAATACAAGGGTATGTCAATATATTTTTTAAATAATTTATTAACAGTTTTGCAAAATTATCACATTAGTTTTTAATGTTCATTGAAGGTTTCGAAGGAGTTTTGTGAAAAAGCAAAATGTTAAAAATATCAAACATGTGTTTTTAAATTGTAGTTTTCAGATATACGCTATACATAACTTCAAAAAACTACATTTCATTAAGAATGCAGATATTAATATAATAACCTGATATTAATTTGGTAGTAGTATTGAATTACGTAAATTTAATCATCTTATATAATATAATACAACTAAGTTCTCCAAAAATATATATATATTAATAAGTAAAAATTAATCATAAATTAAATAATTCTAACACGTGATACTAAAAAACAAATATATTAAACGCAATGGATAATATGTCTGTCTTAGGAAAAATATTTAACGCATAAACACATGCATGTCATACACATTGTGACAATAATTTAAAAAAGTATGAAAACTCGTTGAATTAACTTGATAAATTTTGATATAGTGAATGTAACAGTTTATTAATGGAAAATAATGGATTAACATTTTTAAGTATTATGTGATATGTACTTTAGGGTTCAAATTTTAAAAAGAATATTTCGTAAATCTTTTTTTTTATTTTATAAACAGATGTATATTGATTAATGAGTCATGAGACTATTTACAATCAGGCATTTCGAATATGTTATAGCAGTCGACATTTTCTTTTTATGATATGCCTTTAGGTAGGCATTCGTGCATGATGGTATATGTGTTTACTGTGCATGTATATTTACAATGTAATATGATTGCTCTTGAGAAATTTATGACATGTCAATTTGATAAAATATAGTACCTTTTTTTATAATACGATTCAACATTCCTGTATCCCATGAGATAGGCATACATACATAACAATAAATTATTGAACATTTCTCATGGTCGGACTAATTAAATTACTAACCGCAATACTATTTTCTATCAGAAAATAGTATGGTTAAACAATTTGATCTTTTTACATGATTAATAGACTTTTGTTTTTAAGTATGATAAGGAAATTATATGAAAAATATTAAAATAATAAAAACAAAATTATTAAATCAAAACAATGTTCTTTGGAATGTTATACAAAATGTAAGTATAGATTACAGTGGTTCATAAATTTTCAGTAATTCATATGAAAAAAGTAATTATATGTATAGATCGTGTCAGGTGCGCAGAAAAAAATATATAATATTTATATAAATCTGAAAAATAACTTAATCAGACTGATACTCCTAAAGTATGACTGCAATACATAAAAGTATTATCCATAAAATATTCTCTTGATTCTTCCATTAATAATTGTTTACAGTAGTCATTAATGTGTAAGTACGCTAATAAAAAAATTGTATTACGCGTTTAATTGTTTGAAATTTTTAAATGAAATACATGGACTTCGACTATACATAATCTCATTTTATGAAATTTTTAACAGAATTTTGTCTCATTAAATTTCATAAATTATCTTATAAGTGTACCAGTAATTTTGGACCATCCTGCAGTATGTACTGAAGAAGTTATTTGTAAATAGTAAGATATAAAATATGGTTTTACTACGTATCAATATTATATACAAACCCTGTTCGGATCGATAATAAATTTACTGAAGACAATCGAGTATTTCTTGTCGAAGTAAAAAATTATGCACCTTTCTATAGCAAATTTTTTGTATATGTAATCGAATCTTTTAGCGCGATGAAAAATGCAGAAGGTCCAAAATAATTCTGCCGTGATTTATACAAAACGTATACATTCCTGAATCACGTGTTAAAAACATGATTTACAAAATCGTTTTATCTTATTAGATACCCCAAGTTTCTGTTAATAGTTTCATATATTATTTTACAATTTATCTATCAAAAGAATTTAGATAAATCGTACCTTCTCTGTACGGTTCAAAATAACTACAATCCTTCTCTTTCTTTTTTGATCATTTTTAGTAGTAAACGTAAGGCAAGAAATACCTAATACTTTTATAACGCAGGATTCTCGAATTTTGGTCCTTTGGTGACTACGATATCAGCGTATGGAATTTCTTGATGGAGTTCTAATACTTGAAACTTTTTAAGAACTAGTAACGTATAGAATTTTTGTGCAACCTGAAAATAAAAAAGAATATTATGAACTATACCGTGTAACTACTTATACACGTCATATAATTTTTTATAAATCACATTACGTAATACAGACCTGCTTGCGATTATTCTTGTATGCCATTTCCGTTAATGTCAATCTATCTTTGGTATCCAGTTTGCTCTTAATAACGTGATACATGTGCGCTGCTCTTTTGTTAAGAACTCGTTCCTCGAACTGTTCGTAAGTTTCATCCACTTGTTGTTCTTCTTGCTGTAAAGGAGAAGAAACAAAGTTGTATAATTATTTCTTTGAACTGATTACATTTTAGCGTAACGAATATTAGGGTAATGTACGTACAGGTCCTACAGACGGAGGGAATTCATAATCTTCGTGATTCCACGGAGTCGCAGGTCCTCTTTCGGATATAGCAGGTGTATGAGGTGGTGCTGGATGTTCATCGTATCCTAGGTACGGTACTTGAGGCTGCGCCTAATACGGATATAATGATAGATTAACAATATTTTTGTTACGAATAATATGTATAGATCAGTATTGTTGAAGCTTCGAGTTTCAAGCTTTCAAAACCACAGTATAATTCAAGTCATAAAATAAAAATAAATAATGTAGACAACTAACCTGATCATAACCCATATTTTCCATTTGAGGCATTTCAGCAGATGGAGCGGCACTGACTTCTGGTTCCGCTGGGGTAGGTGGAACAGCTAATTCTTCAGGTGCAACAAGGGATTCGGTTGGAGGAATTTCAGACATTTGTGGGAAAATTAGAGGTGTTTCAGGAGCTGGAGGAAGCATGTCCACTTCTTCGACAGGAGGTACAATACCGCTGATCTCAGATACTGACGATTCTGCTGGTAGAGATACTTCGGGCGGTACTGGTGATTCTGCAAGAGGAAGGCTTGCTTGTGGAACTATATTTGGAACTTCTACAGCTTCAACAGAGATGTCCATTGGAGGAGGTGCTGGTGCTGGAGGTGGTGGCTTTATCTAAAGACAAAGATACAGGGTATAAATAATTGTACAAAAACATGAATTAATACAAAAAGGAACGCATTAAAACGTATAAAATACCTCTTCCTCTAATGGTAGCTTTCGTTTTCGAGCCATACGCTTATTTAGAATACTTTGCTCGAATGATTCTTGTTCCGCTGCGTCTCTCATTTGTTCCAAAGGCATACCTTCTTCTTCGCCCACTAAACGTCCAAAGTCTTCGTGATCGTAGGATTTACTTGTTAGATGTCGTTGATAATTCTATTTCGAACACGGAAAATATTGAACATTGTACAAATGTTAATTTATTTCTTTTATTTGAGTAAAACAAGAGCATCGAATATTTTAATTACCTTAAATAATACGCGTGCTGGAATTGGCCTTCCTGGCAAAGCAAATAATTTCTCAACTCCACCAGTTTCTTTCCAGTGCATTAGCCTCTTTGTGGGAGGTGCCAAATCCAATGTGGTTATAATGTCACTGGTATCTGATAATTGTGCTTTCATTTCTTCACCAGAAATATTTTTTACTTCGTCGACAATGAGCTTGCGCTTACGTTTTGCTTTTGTGAATCCTGAAATTTAATTACTGGTATTATTATGATTGTTATAATTAATATTATAATTCAGATAAAATAGTATGGTGTTATAATCGACCTTTTAAAGCAGATGTATCAACTGGCGCAAGAGCGAAACTCTCTTCTTCGTCGTGTAATAACGTAGTTTGGTCCTGTAGAGGTGGTGCTTCTTCAATAGCTTCCATTGGGCGTTCTTCAGGAATCATTGGCGGAGCAGGAGTAAAACGACGACTGGCTACACTTATTCTCCCTTCAATTTCTTCTCCAGCTACGGCAGGAGAAGCGGGTCTGGAGTCGTCAGAACTACATGGGAAATAAATTATTTATGATTATAATAAAGTAATTTTTTCAACAATTCATATCACTAAATTTGAATTACATCCAAGAGTATTATCTTTAGAATACCTCATTCCTCCCATAGGAGATGGTGGCCCTCCAAAGCGATCCCCCATTTCTTCCTCAGATTCGTCATGTACAGAAGCTGCGACTCCAGGAATTGTGCCTGGTTCTTGTGGTTCCGCTACTCCGCTAACTTCAGGTACAGGTACTTCACCCATTGGCGCTTCATCAAATAAACCACCCTCAAATAAGCCACCAGCTAAAGAGCACAATTATAAATACTTGTATAATAGATGTTCCATAACAAATATATAGTTTCAATGTCTTTCAACTAATGTAATTATTAATATATGTATATATGTATATTTATGTTAGTTACATATGATATCTTGACCAAGATGTCCACCAAAACCGTCGTCTCTAATTGGCATGTCTATATCCATAGCTTGCGGTGTTACTGACGGACCTGGAACCGGCTCTTTCTCCTTTTGTTCTAGAGCTGCTTCTATTCCTGGTCCATCGGTGAACAACATATGAGTCTAAAAAATTAATATAAAATTTATTTTTTAAAAATGAAGTTAGTTTACAAGAAAATCGAAACATACCTGATCTAAAGATGGTTCTACAGAGCCAGCATGTCTTAGTAACTCTGGTGGTTCTGCATCAAAACTCATATCACCAAATCCTTGATCATGACTAACTAAAGCTAGACTACCATAATCTTCTCTCATTGTTATTTCCTCTGCTCGAGACTGGTTTAAACTAAATTGTGCTTCTATATCAACATCTCTGAAATAGAAGAGTTGCATTGAACTATTTATAATAGTGTTTATGTACATACAATAATATGTTAAGCAGCATTAGATTAATTTAATTTAAATATATTTACTTCAATTCAGGCATCGCGGTATCAAAGTCGTGAAACACTTCGGGTAATGTTATAGCTGTTACAGCAGCTTCCCTGTGTTCTTCTGGTAAATCTACCATACCTGGCCTAAAAGCCATTTTTATTTTCACAAAGGCTTCATTACAATCAGCCAAAAGATATTTAGCCTTCCGTGAATATATACGCACTACACCCAACAATAAGTGTCCAGAGGTTCTTAAAGCCATTTTTACCTATACAAATGTATTACATTGAGAAATTAGATCATGTTACATTCCATGTTACATATGTATAATATTAGGAAACATCTTCTCTTAAAGATGGATGTAAAGGTTGCAAATTTGTAATTTTACAGAGAGTAATAAGAAATATGTCAATGTTAAAAGCCTTGTGATATACCTTTGGCTGTAATATACCGTCTACAGATTTCTCGATATTAGTTTCGAATACGTGGGCCTTCGTCAACTTTTTATCCCAATGAGCGGCTAACCAAATACGGGCCAACGGCCCCTTTTTGGCCAACACGAAATGTGCGTAAAACATTTTTAATCCGTATTACGTATACTTCTGGAAAGAATCGATATCATATCAGTAAAATACGTTTTAACGAAGAATCTACTGTTTGTAAACACAAGTCTGAGCATAATACAAAACAATTCGTTAACGCGACATCCCGTTAGCAACATGATTATCACCTTGTAATGAAAAATACGCACGATGCGTCAATTAATAAACAAAGTTAGCATGTCTATAAAAACTTATGAATACACAAATCGAGTCGTGGGACTCGAGTAAATAACGATCATATAATATAATATTTCCAATTTAGCAAAATGTCAACATCTTTGCACAAGATGGCGTTTCTGTCCGTAATTTTGGCGGTTACACATAAGGTGACGAGCACGTAGTACGTTTTATTTACTTCCGTATGGGAAACGTTCCAACAGCGTGTCGCCGATTAACTCTGAACCGCCACTCTTATATTTTACGAAATGGATCACATTTAACTGTAATATTATCGAATTATTAACACATACGTTTCTTTTCACCGCGTCTTGGAATCCATTTGCAACTAGTTTCACCGAACGTTCTGAAACTCCCTCCAACGATGGCGGGCAGTATTCGTAAATCTACAAAACTGTGACCTCTTGGACGTCATATCGGTCGTACGCATTTATACAATTATATTCAATTTTCTATAATACAATACATCGATAATGGGAAAGTAAACCAATGTTGAGGAATAAAGAATTCAAATTAAAATAATTGATGTGTTATATCGATAGAAATGGTTTCATAAAGTATAATACTGAAACTCTGTTTCCAAGGTTCATTATCAGAGGGCTACAAATAGTAACTGATTTTTACATTTTACATTTTCCAAATTACTAAATTCTTCCAAATAGTAAGAATTGTCGGCATTAAAAGCTGTCTGTGTCTAAAGTAGAATTTAATAGATAAGTTCTTTCTTTCTAATGCGTTATAATCTTTTATTTTTATTTGTCAAATCACATTCTGATTACTATCAATGGTGTCCAGATTTCCATGCAATTTTCTAAGAATATCTAGCTCATAAGCTGTAGAATTGCATATCAAATTTTGTAGAGTTTGTGTTCTTATATTATTATTTTAAATAATAATTGAGTGGATTTAGAAAGGCCACCGCTCACTGAGCCGTTCAGTGAGCAGGTTTCTAGTACTAGTGGCGCTATCGGTGGCAAAACGGCCAAGTTTGTAGTGAAAATAGTTTTCACTATTTTTGTAAGATGGCGCCACTAATAACTTGTAATTAATTATTCTTTATTTTTTATAAATGCATGATTAATACGATTACTGGCTTTATAACACCACAATATATTACATAATATGTCAAACAAATCATTTTTATGAATAGTTATTTAATTTTCATCGACACCTATCGGTACATTACCATCATGTTGGTAAATTGCTGGTAATTACCGATCTCTTATTACCATAAGTGTTACCATAAGTGTTTTTAACGACAAACTTGGACGTTTTACTACCGAAAGCGCTAATTATCATTTCTAATTAGTTTCATCCATCCACTGTTAGATGGCAATCTTTTTTAATAACAAATCTTGTTTTCTAATAAATTATTAATCCAAACATTAAACTAATGTCATTGCTGACTTATATAAACTCCATAAAATGCCTATCCCTGGTTCAGTGTTTTGATTATGGTCAAGCAAAATAAAGCCTCAGTGGTTGCTTAGATATCATATGTATCAACCCTAATAGGACGTTTCTATTGTCTTGATATGTATACAAAGATATTTATATTTTACTGATGTGACATGAAACTACAATAGTCATTTAACGATCTGACAGCAGAATCATTGTAATATATCAGGTGGAAATATATTTATCGGCAAACTTCTCTGGTGAATTGAAATTTCGAACCCATTTTGCAGCAATCGATTGCTTTTGGAACGCCATTTTCTTCGTTGCCCATCGCGCGATTAAATTTTACTTGGCATGAAGTACTGCGATGAAATAAACCGAAGATTATATAAAACTCGTACAATACGGAAAGAATTACGTATAATAAAAAAATCTCAATAAGTATTACTGCATTATAGAGTGATACGCACTTATATATACTGTTATATACGATAGGCGACTTATTTTCGTGAACACTACGTTTTGGATAAAATGTTCATGTTAAACCAAGGTAGTGCAGTAACAATGAAGTGTTTGATAAATGATTCGGTTTAATTCCATTCGTTGATCGATTCGTTGTATGCGCCAGTTACGTCATAAAGTCAGTTCTCAATATTAAGTGCAACGTCAGTAACGTTTTACTCGGAACTCGGAGTGTCATTTGTCTCGGATTGTAAGATTAAAAAATTACGTTTGAAGATTGACGAGAAAATGGGTAAGCCTTCACTCCTCTTCACTTAATTTTTGAACATCATGATACAGTTTCTTGTTTAATTACAACAGTTAATTTTATATTGGATGATTATTATTCTAAGGGAGAACAATAACCATAATCATGTACTTTTACAATGGAAGTATTAAAACAAATAATACACATGTTGTAGAGAATTCAGGGGCGGTTATGATAGAAGGAGAGGACTATGAAGTAGTAGATGAATGTATCAAAGAAGAAGATATATCTAATACTGTGCAAAATAAACCTACAGAGAACTCTGCAAATGTTGGAGAACCATCTAAAGATACTGTACCTGTAAATGATAAAGTACCAAATGAAAATGTTAAACAAGATGAAGAACCACTATGCATAGATTTAACAGATGATGTACCACCAAATAATTTGAGTATTAATAATAATGATCGAAACAGTTCATCAAATGTAGAAATTAAACGCTTAGAACAAGCAAATACAGAAAACAAATGTTTGGAGCAACCAAATGCAGAAGAGAAATCCTTAGAACAAGCAAATGCAAAAAACAAATGTTTAGAGCAACCAAATGCAGAAGAGAAATGCTTAGAACAAGCAAATGCAGAAAACAAATGTTTGGAGCAACCAAATGCAGAAGAGAAATGCTTAGAACAAGCAAATGCAGAAAACAAATGTTTGGAGCAACCAAATGCAGAAGAGAAATGCTTAGAACAAGCAAACGGAGAAAACAAATGTTTGGAGGAATCAAATGCAGAAAATAAATGTTTGGAGCAACCAAATCAAGAAAATGAATGTTTAGAACAACCAACTGTAGATTCAATAGATTTTACAGCTGATATTAGTTTAGATCAATTGAATGAACAAAAAGATATAACAGATGAAGATGTTTTAAATCATTTAGATGAAATAGAAAATATAGTCTTTGATACTTCTGATTCTCAGAAACCAGAGGAGAATAATGATTCTAAAATTGGAATGATAAGTTTGGATACTTCAGATTTTGTAAAAGAAGATGAAAGTAATGAATCAAAAGAAAAAAGTGTAGTCTCCAATTCTGGAACTAAAGAAATTATCCAAGTAACTGAATATATTACTATTGATAAGAGTACTTCTTCCAATGATACTACAAATATGGAATTAGATGAAAAAGTAGAAGAACCTATAACATATGATTGGTATGAGAACAAGGTAATATGTAAAAGATAATACAGTTGATTCCAATTATTAGGATACCTTTATAGTTAAAAGAAGTACCAATATAAACTTAGTTCATACTTTTAATGGTTGTGTATACCTTGTAGAGTTAATATCTAAATGAAGATAATTTTGATTAATTTTCTCAATACATTGTGTTTTGTAAGATTTATTCCGAATAAAAGGATGTCCCAAATAACCAGAATCCACTGTACAAGTAAAAAAAAAATGAAATTTATAAATCAGGAATGAAATTGTTATTTTAAATAAATGTTATACAGCTTGCTGAGAAAGAAATAATTATAAAAGAACGACTATCGAAAGTGTCCAGAGTTCTAGGAATTTCTTATCCATGTTATGAACAATGGTTAGAAAGGGAAGAAAAAACGAATGGATCTCCTTTATGCAAATTGAAACCAGCTCGACGATGTTGTTTGAAAAAACCATATACTAACCGTTGGAAATTTATCTGTAAGTACATGTCATTGTGCGTTCTCTCTACTCGCAAATCCACAGGGTTGTAAGTTAAAAGGAGTTGTTAATGCTTAAAACTGCATCATCCTGCACGTGAAGTTGATTTTCTCACAGGCACCGTTTTGCACATTTAGGCTGCAGAAAAAGGGTACAAGATTCTCCAAAGAAGACAAGTGATGCTGATACTTCTTTTACCAAAAATACTGAGACATCCTGGAAATTAGAAGCAAGTGGGGCATGGGGTGCTAATATAAATAATGAATCCGAATTTCCACCTTTTGTATTGCGCGCTGTTAAGGTATATCAATTTTATTTTACTAATAAAGTGTACATTCCATTGTTTTAAATTTATTATTTATAATAATTATTACATTATATAGATATTTGAAGAATTTCTTCAAACAACTGAACAACCAAGTAACCAGGAGAGTGTTAATGAAAATTTCTCTGATGATATATCTGTAGAGATGGAAACAAAAAAGGAAGTATTTGTTGAAGGTAGACAGGAATGGTCATGGTTACTGGTACGTTGTAATAGCATGGATGAACTTATGCTATTTGCAACTGGAAGAAATATTAGTCGCGCTACAATGGACCGTTTAAAGCAAGTTTATGAGTCTGGACCAGGAAAAGATTGCAATGTAAAGTCTCTTTATTGCAAATCCACGAATAAGTGAGTATAGTTCTATAAAGCTTATGAGAGATATTTTATATAATTTCTGTTATGGAATAAATAAGAGAGTACTATATTAGACTTCGTAATTTTAGGTGTGATGATACTACTGTCACAGATACAACATTTTTGGTAGGATCAGAAGCTTTAGATGAAGTTGTGGGTGGATTAAAAGTGCAACTTGCACCTAAAACAAATTTTTGGTCGAATACGGCGGGAGCAGAAAATGTTGCAAACGCAGTAATGGACTTACTTGCACCTCACCCTAAGTCAATTTTGCTTGAAATAGGATGTGGTATTGGTCTTATTGGGTTGATGATGGCATCTGTAAGTGAGAAAACTACATTTTTATTGAAAGCCGTTCCGTTCAGTTAAAAAATGATTCAATATATTTTTGAAATAATTATAGAAATGTCAACAAGTGATAGGAGTGGATTCTCCATCAGAAGTTGAAGAAGCTGAAATGACTTGCGAATTAAATAATATAAAAAATGCCTCATTCATTATGGGATCTCCCAGTGAAGTAATAAGTAAAATTGTTCCAGCAGTGAAAAACCGCAAAACATGTGCAGTAATTAATGCGAATACTAACCTTGGTCGAGGTATTTAGAAGATATATTACATTTTAAAATCTAATGTTTCAAAATTTTTTTTTCTTTTTTTGTGGGGGGGGGGGAATCTTTCAAAGACATTCGCGATCTCTTGGGGAAGGCCAGGGGTTGCATGAGTTTCTCTGCACCGCCTGCTCAGCGGCACAGAGCCTACCCACTACCCCACGATATTCTACTACGTACGCATGAGGGAGAGAGAGGGGGGGATGAAATTCAACGAAATATCTTCCATCGAAGAGAGTTGGTTAATGTCACCTCTCTTCTAAGCATATTCTCTGTAACGACGTGATGTGGACATACAGTCACATCGTTCCTTTCTGTGGGCCGCGTGCAATGGTAACTGCGGGCCCCAGGGTTGCCATAAGTCGAGCGAAAGCAGCTACGTCAAATCTGTGTACAGATTTGTGACGTTATGTTCGGCTCAACGTGTTGAGATCTTCGCTAGCAACACGGTACAAAAAACAAAAATAAAGCGATATTAGCTTATTCTCTTGTTTTATGTGACGTTGCGCCTGGCTCAATGAGTCGAACCTTCGCTGGCAACCCTGACGGACCCCAACCCGCAGTCGCCTACGGTCCATTGCGATCACGCGGCGAATGGGATTTATTCCCTTCGCTATCGCTCACGTCGCATTTTTGTCGATCGCTGAGGACGGTGGTCCTAATATAGGGAACCATCTCTCGTCCCCAACGCTGACCTAACAGGAAGGGCAGCGTTATGCACTACCCTTTCATCCAGCGTTAGTTATCCGCCGCGGGGACTATGTTCCAGTGCATATAGTTATATATTGTAGTGTAAACAAAGTATAATTTTATACTAAATATATGTTATACATATATGTTACATATGTATATACTTTACAGCAATTGAGGTTATGACATGTCTCAGGAAAATTCCATCTCTCAAACGAATAGTGATGATAACCACATTAACGAAGCAATCAGTTCGTGCTATATTAGAACTAGCTCGTCCTGTAGATAATATTAATTTTGGGTCACCATTCATTCCAATAATGGCGTGTGTTGTTGATACTTTACCACTTGGTCCTCATTTTGAAGCTGTTATCTTACTACAACGGCGGGTAATAACTAAATTGAATCAATGGAATAAGAAAAATACAGATGAAAATGTTAAAACTCCAGAAACTAAAAACGCTCAAATAAAGATAGATGAGCAAAGTATCAATGGAGCAGATAAAAAAATTTTAAACAAAGAGACTGAGATTCGGACAAAAAGAAACTTTATTAAATCATTCAAATATCCTGCAAAAAAAACGAAAATGCAAATAAAGAATCCGATTTACACAAAAAGTACCGAAAATGTAATTGTAAAAAATAAGTTCAAGGGTAAACGTCCTCATTCCCCGGACAGAAGTGAAGCACCGCCGAAAAAAATAATGAAGAAATTTGCTAAATTTGGAACCAAATCTTGGCAAATGGGTAAGTTCATATTCTTTCATAGGTATCTTGATTAAAGTCTTTGATTTGCCTGATTACGAACTTCAAACAGAACTTTCAATAATACTTATTTTTAACTCCAGATTTATCAACAAAAAAGAAAAAAGAATGGACCACTGAAAACTCACAATTGCGTATCAATCCGCTTCATGAAAAGAAATTACGAGAGCACAAGGAGCAAACTGATTTAAGGAAAAGATTATCTAGCAATCGATTCGACCCAGATATCGCTCAAACAGTAAAGGTGCATCAAGATCTTTTAGAAATGGCAAAAGAAAAATTAAGTGGACCGACGCCGACTGTTGACGTAAATACTGCAAAACAATTACAGAACATGTTGAATATGGTTTTGGAGCAAACAAATAAACTCCAAAGTCAACTTCCACGCTCTGTTTGGGATCGTATTGCACCACCAGAAAATATGAATGTAGATCAACGAGATCTTAAACTGGAAGATCCTCTTTTGAAGGGGCGATATGTCCAGGAAGTGGGCTCCCAAGATATATTAATTACAACGTCAAATAAAAAATGTTCGAATAATGAGGAGCCCGTGGCAAAACCCTTTTACAAAAAATACAATAACTTACCGCCTTTAGAACCGAATACAGTAATGCCAGTTGGACCACCTACTGATTACAGAACAGGCAATCCGTTTCGCACAAGTCCGGAGCGATATCATGAAACGGACATGCAACAACAAACTGAAGAAAATCCTTGGAATCTAGATAACACATCATTCGAAAGAAATCGTTGGAATGAAATGGGAAATATGAGAAAACTAATGTCACCTATGAGAAGACAAACTTCTCCAATAAAACATAGAGTATCTCCCCAAAGATTTTCACCTAAACGTCCATTATTATCTCCTCCAAGACGTCCGTGCTCTCCTCCTAGAAGGCATTTTTCTCCCATTTGTCGTCCATCTTCACCGTATAGACAACGTTCTCCTTTAAGACGCCAAATGTCCCCTCCATTAAGGCGACCTATGTCGCCATCAAGACGAATGTCACCAACAAGGCGACTCTTGTCACCTAGACGTTCAACATCATCTCCACGGCGAAACGAAATAATGATGAATCGGCCAATTTCACCATTAAGACGTGAACTATCACCTCCAGGACGACAGATGTCTCAGACGAGAACAACTATGTCTCCTCCTAGGAGGCAACTATCTCCAATGAGGCGACAAATGTCTCCTCCAAGAAGACAAATTCTTTCTCCAAATAGAATGATATCTTCCAATAGGCAAGAAATGTTACTTTCTAAGCGACAAACAATGCCACAAGAAAAACAACAAATGAGACGTGCAGAATCACCATGCGGATTTGCTTTTGGACGTACCGGCTCGTCACCAAGAAGACAACAATCTCCACACAGGCGACAAATGTCACCACAGCAGAGATATGTCGATGATTGGGATATACCTAGCAGAGGAGCCATTGAACAAAATACTTGGACTCGATCTGTTGAAAGAATGGCGGAACAGAATATGTGGCAAAATGAAAAACCTTCGACATCCAATAACAGTTGGGATCAAACATTGCCTAACGATAGACGTCGTAAAACCTTCAGTCAAGAGAAATGGGATTTTAAAGTTTTTCTTCGCGATGATACGCGGAACAGTGGTGCAAATAATTGGAATTCTAAACCTATGATTAAAGAAACATGGCCTTCAAGTTCTGATAACAGATGGTCAAGTACGTCTAATGTAGCTGGAAGTAGTAATGATAATTGGAATATTCGTGGAAAAGAAAGTTTCAATGCTCGCAAAGAATCGTGGATGGACAAAAAGAAACAAGGTAAATGGGAATCGGTAAATGTTAAGGATTCTTGGAAACAATCTGACAAAGAAGATTTAGATGATCTACCGGAAGATGCAAGAGATCCTTGGGGTGACGATGGTAATGTAGGTTTAAAAGAAAGGTGCTATATATTTGAAAATCCCGATACATCATCCTCGTGGAAAAGAGAAAGCGAACAACAGGGAGATGGTACTTGGTCAAATCAAAAAGATAATTGGCAAAATAAAGGGTTACCTTTTAGTACGAAACCTCAATGGCAAAATAATGGAATGCAAAACGTTGAGGGGTCACGTTGGATTGGAAAGAATACGGGATCTTGGCAATCTCAACATTCAAATTTTCAACCACGTTCATTTTCTACCACTCAGTTTAAAGGTTTACATTAAGAGTTACGTTCCTTAATTTGATAATTTCAATTATTAACAATTTGCTAGAAAGTTCGTATTGTTATGCAACTCGGGTCACAAAGGGGAAACCATAAGGTTTTTTTTACGTTCAAATAAAAATGAAACATATTTAAAAATTACAGCAACAGATAAGAATAATTGAAACCAAAAATATGTAATCTCATGTTACATTACGCAATCATCACTTGATGTAAGCTATGTTCCATGAATTAATTCAAATTTTGTTTTACTTTTCAAATTATATTTTTTTTTTATATTGAAGATACTAATAAAGTATCATAAGTATTAACTCAAAATATGGCATAGCTTTCACAGGAGTTATAAATCTAATATGGTATTATAACATCTGATAAATGGTATTTATGAATCTCCTTTGAGACAGTGTAAAAAGTAAGTTTATATTGTACTTTTCAAATAAAACTGCATTTACATAAAAAGATAGTCGACTTAATTGTACTTGACACAAATTTTTAATTATTTTAATTAACGTATTAAGCATACATGAACAGTGGAATCCTTTACGCGAATCCATAGATAAGCGGTTGTGCCTATACTTACGTCTGTATACATATTCTGTATGTATGTATGTATGTATGTATGTATGTATAAACATATTAAATAAAATTTTCTTTTCTTCAATTTTTCATTCTATAAAGAAGAATGTTTAATTTTGATTAACATGTGAAAGTATTGCATACCACATGTAGTGTAGAGAGAAAGAAAAGTCAATCATGGGAAAAATAACGAGTCATCTGCGACTGATTATAAGCAAAGAATAATTGACACTGTTCATATTCCCTTCACTCATTGTATGCATCATATTTTTATTAACTAAAACTAACTTTTCTTAATGCTATACATCGTACATAAATATTTACACAATTCAACTTACGTAATAATTCCTGAAACGAATTATCCGCATAAGTTGTAAATTTCATACTAACATTAGGCATTTATTCCTTCACGTACAATCTGAGTTGTCGAAGATCCAAATATCATTTTGCCCAAAATAAAAGGAGAAAGTTATCTGACCCCCCCCCTCCCTCCCGCCATTAATTGAACGTTAAAAAGTATTTGATATTGTCGAAACTTTAAAAAGTAATTTAATGCTTGTTTCGAATTTTTTTAAAGCGTGCTACAGGAAAAATCTTGAGATAGATATAAACGATCCAGTTTTCACACCACGTTAGTAAAAATAACATAGCAGTAGAGCATTAATAATTGAAGCATTTTAGAAGAAAATATAAACTTAAAGCATACATTATCGGTATTCACGTCAAATATTATGAAGGATTTTGACTCAAGCATTTATTTTCATTTATATATCTAATAATGTTTAACAAATTTATGTAATACATCAAACTTTTTAAATATGGACATGTAAAATTTATAGAAAGCTATTATAACAAAAATTATTCAAAATATATATACGATTATAAAATTTTTATATCAATGATTGTCGAGTATTGTTGATTATTGTAGTATTGAGCACACGTGCGCAAGTGTTATTGAGTGGCATGCATTTGTGATGTGTATATATTGAGTGAAAAAGCAAGTTTCGAATATTATTTATCTATGTTATAATAAAATTGAAATTTATCTTTCATTTATGTAAACAAGCATAACAAATGTTCTGTTCAAAGGTATATTATTTACAAATTTATCCTATGAATGTAAAATAGGTTAGGATTAACTGCAGTATTATTTTCTAGGTATCTCCTCTTTTACGAAATATAGCAAGTTCACATGATAACGGATATACCAATTTATTGCAATATGCATTGTGTTCGACGAAAACCACATTTGTCAGTACATCCCCCGCCCAACAACAGGTATAAATAATCAGTGATTAAGGTGGTCAAATAAGTTCAATTTTGGAGTAGTTCCGCTCTGAATAACAATTTTTTTTAATAGCATTATTTTATTATTAGATTCTGTTATATATTTAAAGGTAAAACAAATTTATCACAAAATTAGTCACATTTCATGTACATTCATTTTAATAATTATAACTTAAAATTTATTAATACCTTTAAATAAATATTATTTAATATGTTTAAGCCTGCTGCTGATAAATTGTATAAAAAGATAGAAATTGAAGTCAGAGGAAATGACGCTGCTGTCCTAAAAAGTTATGGACAATTTGCCGTCATGGCAGCTGAACATTTATCTATTACTGTTGGCAGAAAGTAAGTAACACCTCAGAAATTTATGCTTAAAAGAAACTATATTTTGTAAGACTAAACAGTATAACATTAAAATTAACAGTACTACACCATTGAAACCCATTCATGAAAGACTGACACTACTTAAGTCTGTCTTTGTTCACAAAAAACATCGTGTGCAGTATGAATCAAGAACATATTACAGATATCTAGATTTTTTTAAATTGACTGGCTCAACAGCAGATACCTTTCTAGAATATTTACAAAGAAATCTTCCAGAAGGAGTGGCAATGAAAACTACAAGGGTATGATTTTAACTGTTTAGATTCGAGTACATGAAAAATATAACTAAATCTGTTACAGGTGGAATTACAAACATTACCAGAAGCATTAACACATCCACCTTCAACGACAAAAACAACAACAAAACAAAAATGAAATGGAACAATTTATAATATTAGCTGTATTTTAGCATACAATTAAATAAATTATATAAAAATTATTTCAGTGTTTTTTCTTTTATAAATGTTTCTAATAAAAAGTTCACATAACATAAGTTTTACAAAAATATACATATGTATTATTTCCTATTTGCATATCTTTTAAGATGACCACACACGAATATAATCAATTTCGAAACTGGTCATTTTACCACTTTCTCTTTTCCAAGTCGGTAACCAGTAGTTTTTTGCGCGCCAAAATTTTAACATCGCCTGAAATATATTTGAAAATGGCTGATTAATAATAATAAAAAAAAAGGTAAATCTTGTGACCCACTACAGATACTATTATAAAATATCTGTAAGGTCTAATTTACCTTTGCCTCGACGTTTCTCCATGGCTTTGGATTGCCTGAACTAATTGTTCCATCGGGAAAAACGCGTATACCACCGATTCCAAGTCCGATAGTAATGTAAAACTATATGAAAAATAAACATTGATTAGTATTAAGTTATCAATCATTTTAAATTATGTGTAATACATATAACATGTATAATATTTAACATACCTCTTGATCGAAAGGCGCCATTTTATCGAAAGCAGTATTATTTAACCACCCATTTGCTTCAGGATTTAATCTACCAACTTCTTGATTATCTACTAGAAATTGAAATCCATCACTGTTCCAAATTGTTGTGTAAATATGAAAATCTTTCGTCCATCGTTGACCATTTTTATAAATTTTAGAAACCATGTAATCGTCGACGTGTGTATTTGCGCCAGCTCTAAACCCAAAGTCCAATTTTCTCGAGTCGAAGATTTTTTGATTAGTGGTATTAATTAAATTATCATTTCCACGAGCAAGACCAAGGATGACGCGTCCACTGGAATATCCTGGACCGTAGCCGTCATATTTCGGCTGCAGCCACATTTCTGTTATAATTAAAATCATATTAAGCCAAAATTATGTATGGTCAGAATTCAATAATTTTTTGTCACGATTTGGATACATGTTTTAATCAAAAATCGCACTTTTAGAGTACAAGTAGTGAACTTAATATATAAATTTTCTTGTTAAGGTATATTTAAAAATTGCTAAGATACAGCAAATCTCCAGGAAGGTTCTTTTCCATATGTTTTTTCCTTTACTTTTTATTCTTCATACGTTTAGTAACATATTTTGCTATTTGACAAAGCAATGCAACGGACGAAACAGTAATCTCTTACCTGGGTACAGCCAATCACCTTCTGAAAACTTTGCCCTTATTTCAATTTTACCATACCGAAAATGAAAACTATTCTTTGTAGTAAATCTGGCGGATATAATGGGTGGTAATATGTTGAAGGCTGTGGCATTTCGCGAACATTCCGCTGGAATTACACTGGTACAACTATGTCATACAAAAGAACGTCCAATTAACAAAGCAAATCAAATAAATATTATCTACAAATGCTTCGAGCAAACGTTAATTAAATAAATAGAAATTCAAATTTCCCGCTGGAAATTAGTGTCGCCATCAGCGCAACTATCGGGAAAATGCTGTTGGTAAGTTATCATCATGTCGGTAAATACTCTGGAAATAGCGACATCTAGCGATAACAGCTTAAACTATTCCAGGACAAACTTGGGCATTTTCCCGATAGAGGCGCTGATTAAACTCCGAAGTTAGTTCGGTATATTGACCGCTAGATGGCCATCCAGTCGAGCAAAAATACCGGGAATTTTAAATTGAAAGTTTAAAAACGAAGGCATAAGAATATTTGTTATATCTTTGCACTATCACGGTGAACATCCAGGTTGATTGTGTAAAGATTAATTTGTTCGTACTCGTGATTTTAACATCATAATTTATATTGTTTTATATGTGTCAAGCACCCAAATATTAAATAGTTAGATACTTAAATACTTTGGATAAATTAATTTTTAGAATATATAGATGAATATTTGCTTACCCACCAAGTTGCATTCTTCCATATGCAGTTATATCTTCACCATATAGATCTTCTAAAATCACTGGTTTAATACGAAGTTTCCCACTTGCAACTTGTACCAAAGTTTGATGAAATTCATTGTGGTACACGCAAAATTCGTAATCCTACGATAAAAAGTCTGTTATAAAGCATGAGAAGCAGGAATTAAAAGTGATAAGTCATTCTATACAGCTATGATTTATTCCAGCGTTATGATACTAAAATAATATTATTTTTTATAATATAATTTATTTATTATACAACTTACAGGATCCAAAGGGAATCTGATATCACGCTGCCAAACTGATTCATTTAAAGAATCAAAATTTTCATTAAACAATAATAATTCACCGGCAGATGTTTTATACTTTTCTGTACTTTTGTTTTGAGTTTTTCCTTTTTCAGCTGTAATCAGAAGGCACACAATTTTTTACTTTTCATCGATATTTTTAATTTTACTTCATATTTTCAATTATTGTGAAATATATTTTCATGTAGTGACATCGAATTTCGTTACGAAATAAACATTAACATATCCATAGAACAAATAAACAGGTCTCGTAATTTTATATAATTATGGTCTACATACAAATAACTGTCCATGTTTGATCTGTTTTTCTATATGTTTTTCCATCAACTTGCGCGTAACTCCAGTAATGTACGACATCTCCGTTCATTAAATTTATATTTTCCTTTCGAAAGCTCCATTTTCCATCTGTTTCTTTGTATACTTCACCTGATATATCTCCTAATTCGTTGGGCGCAATATTTTTGTTTACATTTCCTTGTAACGCGAAAAATTTTAGTCCTCGTTCATCTGTTGGCATAAGATTAGAATTATTGTTTAAATATAACAAATATGGTAGAAAATTATAGATAACATCCAGAGATGCATGTGTTATTACTGCTTGATATTTTTTTTCTTTTGTATGAATCATGTACTGTGTCACTTTGTAAGGAAAGTACGCCGGTTATTTGTTAAATGCTGGGAATTACCATTGATACGTAACTGTGAACTTACGATAATGATATTTCTTAATAGTTATTATTAATTTGCAAATACTACTACATTAACTATCGCGTTTCGTAAATTATAATTAAATTAAAATTACGATACATGCATACAATCTTCTATCTAAAATACTTTTATTCTGAGCTTATATTACTTTTTATATACATAAACAGTATTATTTGTTTACCTGGTATCGATATTCGAATTCCCTTCGGTTTTAAAATTTCAAATGTTGGTTCAGGTAAGACGTAACAATTTCCGAATGTAACGAAACTTTCAACTTTTAAAAGAAGTATAATAAAAAATGCAATGGATACGTTACAGTTGAACATATTTTCTGCAATTGACAATTTATTTAATGCAAAACGAGTTAACAACGACGAAATTATACACGGTTGAAGAAAGAATAAAAAAATATGTCTCGTACTGTGAACTGTCGATGCTGCACTGACCTGCGTACAGAGCTGATAACTTCTGTAACTCTTAGAACCCCTCTTCTTTCCTTTTATTATTTTTATATTAATCAAAAGTGAATATAAAAACACAAGAATATAATAAAATAGCGCTATACTATTTAAGTTTTCTTTCGACGTCGTACTTCTTGCATAGTTTTTAGACATTTCAAAACGGAACAGAATGTGCAAAATGATCAAAATTCATTATGAAAATCTATATAATTTGTTTCAGCTCCTGAATAAAAATGATATCTCTTCACCACTTCATTTAGAAGATATTAAATACACTTACTAAGATAACAAATTAAATTTTATTCATTTTTATGAAAGTTAATTATCGGGTGATTTTTTGGATCAATATTCAATATATCTTTAGTATCATCACACTATCTATTTTAAATTATCACTTGTTGATATTTTTGTTGTTTGCAGTAATCCGCTAGATGGCATGTTATCGGCATAGTAGAAATATTTTCGTATATCGTAAACGTCATACCTAATCTGGCCCACATTAGGTTATGTCCTCTAAATTTGTTTGATCAATAGAGAATATATACAAAATTTGTATCATGCTACCAATAAAGAATTTAACAAAGAATGGCTACCTTAGAATTCTATCCTCTGAATCAGTATCAAATATTTTAAGGCGACATTTAACAGAAGAAATCAACGTTCAATATAGACGAAATATTGTAGGTTACCTTGTGTCGCAACGCGAGAAATTCTTAAGTAAAAATATTCATTCAGATACAGTAAATCGTAAGTTAATAGCAAATTTTAGTTCAGACAGTGACAAAGGATACTCAACTGATAGGCAAGTATACGTTATTAAATTATTATTCTTTTTATTATTACCAGGAACAGATTTCGCAAATAATTGCTTTTTTTTTTATTACAGTGAACTTACACCTGTTCAATTTGAGAAAGTTTCTGATGAAACCCTTGAATCTTTGACAGAATACTTTGATGAATTAATTGAGCAGTCACCACAACTAACAGATGCGGATGTATCATATGGAGTATGTTTTTCAATATCTTACCTAATACTTAACTCAATATATACTTAACTATATTGTTTTTACAGGATGGTGTATTAACTGTTAAATTTGGAAAATCATATGGTACTTATGTCATAAATCGTCAAACACCAAATAAACAAATTTGGCTTTCTTCTCCAAAGTCTGGACCAAAGCGATATGATTTTGTAAATGGCAGATGGATCTATAAATATGATGGAAAAACATTACATGAATTACTTAACAATGAAATACCAGCAATCATAATGAATCCAACGTGTTTCGATAAGTGTTCTTTTAGTGGCAAAGAAAAAGAAGCAGCAATGAATAGTCTGTAATTTTATTAAATCAATGCTGTAAATTGTAATTTTAATTAGAATAACTAATTGCATAAACATATGTGTGTGTACTATATTGGAAATACAAAATCTCAGTTAATGTATATAAATTATAATATAAAATAGACAACATATTGTAATATATTTATGTGAGTATTTATAGCTTTGTAAAATATAGATACATTTTAATATTTGCATGGTAGAACCGCACCTTTAGAATTTCTCATTTTACAATGTCACATTGCTAAAGGCTTAGTACATATTTTTATATCTCTAAGAGATATATTAAGTTAATACACGTAATATATCCTGAATTGTTTATAAATTACTTTTATAAATAAATAACGTTGTAAGTGGCTAAACACTAATAAACATTGCACCTTATAATATTATGTTAATAATATAAAGCCTCGCTATATTTCAAAGTATGTTCCTTGTTCTATATTGGACAGATTGCAAAAATGGAGATTATGGAAGATGGCAATTTAGTAGATCGTGTTAGAATTTTATTGCAACGAGACATGCAGTATTATCAGGTAACACAATTTAATCATTGGAAATATTTCGATATGTTACAACAGCATTGTCCAATGTGGCTTCCCCTCCCAATCTTTCTTTCGCGTATCGTAATTACATCGTCAAAGAAATCGGACTTGCATATTAAAAAGTTATTAGATTTGCATAAAAACTGATATATGTAAATTTTATAGAGTGCTGAGTAAGAATCAGAAATCAAAATTCAAAATGGTTAATTTATTATGACGGACTTGTATACTACATAGTTATTAGACTTGTATATGAAAAATGTATATCAAAAATTGATATGTAAGGGTTTTCAATGTCACTGATTACGAATCTACAATCCGAATTCCAAAATTCGAATTATAGGGGTTTTCGAGGCTGCTGATTACGAATTCGCATTCGCATTTTCGCTCTTTGAGACGGCGCATTCGCGATGACGAGCTTGCATATTAAAAAGTTATTAAATTTGTATAAAAATTGGTATGTAAGGGTTTTTGTGGTTGCTCCAAATAGGTCCCACATAATCATACAGGTTCACCCTGTTCCGATATATCATCGTTTCTTTGACATCCGACTACAATATTATCAATCTGACGTGCTACAATATTTTGAATTATATTATGGCGATACAGGAAATGCAAACAGTATTGAAAGAGCCCTTATGCACACGTGTATGTGGTGGAAAACTTGATTTTCCAAGGCACGCTTCATTTGCTGCTATTAAGATCGTGATGTGGTGGGAAGTTGACTTTCAAGCTGCTTTTAATCGTCATTCTGGCTTAACAAAGTCATCTGAACACGAAACTGATGCAAGTACCGAAATTGAGGGTGAAGTTATTAAAAAGATTCAACCTTCCGAATTTATATTACTCGTCGTCGATACTGCAGAACATTTATTAGGTATAATACAATCTTTCTCTAAATCGTATTTAAAATTAGACTTTTTCCAAACATACGTACTTATTGTTTGGAAGTACTTTACAACAGTGTGTAATCAAATTTTATTGCTTCACTGAATAATTACAGAACACTTGCATCTACTTATTCAAGAATCATTAGATCATGCAGATTTAACAGTTTTAACAGCAACTTTGGGAGCAGCTGCATTAATACGAAATTGCTTATGGTGCTACAGCCAACAAACTAAAAATTTAATTTCTCCGCAAGCAAGGTACATATCTACTTATATAATTTAAGAAAGTAATTCTCAAACCTTATTTTTCATTATTTTATTTTTTGTCGCGGTCACATATTATTTGTATCATTCTCGTTATACGAGGAAAATTCACGTGCAATGAAATTTAGCAAACAACAAAATAATCGACATTACTAATGGAGTAATTGTACATTAAGATATTTTTGTTTTTTATTTATAGCGAGAAAATAAACAAGTCCTATAAATCTTATCATGAAATGGCTGAGGCTGTTGCAGAAAGATTATTAGACTTGCACTGTCGTTTAATTTCACTATACATACTTAACGAAGCTGATTCTCTTAGTTGGCATGATATGAAGGCATTCTTTGAACGAGAACGTTGTTCCTTTGTGATACAAATGTGGTGGTTATATATGCAAGGTAATTTTGATCGTACACTCAAGAATACTTTCAACTATGCGACCGATTTTAGTGTACGTCCGATATCAGCGCTGTTTTTTTCGAACGTTGCAATCGTAACATTTTATATTTCCAGCGACAAAGGCAGATTTATGGAACACTGTCTCTCCAAAAATGGCACAACGAGTTTTTTCTGGAATGTTGAACGAGTCTTTATCCATTATTGTGACAAGATTTATCGACGTAAGAACATCTCAAAAGTTATATTATTATAATTTAATTATACCCCTCTCCTTCTTTTGAACTCGATGCTCTTAATATAGTTCATACTAAAGAATCATAAACTCGGATTTGGAAGGTTTAGGTATGCCATATATAATACAAATATCAAAATTACGAATATGATCTATAATAGGCACGACCGAGTTTATCACGATCTCAACAATTTTGGACGGATGCTTTCAACGTTCTCTGTTGCACGGGATATCTTGCATTGAACGCTTGTGTTAGTGTCAGTGAGATGATTGGACTGAAATTAAACACATTACCGGTTGCCGTTAGGGATATCCATACGAAATGTAACGAGCTGTTGGTTTGCTTATTATTGAGAGGAACACCTGTTCAAGAAATATACCAGGTACAGGAATTTGTAGTAAATATTAGGTTGTCCCGAAAGTTTCTTTCGCGAGTTGCACTCAATTATTTTACGTGCCCGTGTTTATATAAATAGACGATCTAATTTCATAGACATTCATATTGTCGCAGTAATGGAGCAAAATGAATCGTGCACAATTCAGTAATGTAACATAAAACATAAACTATTGTGCATGTATTACTTATTAATAAAGCGAAAGAAACTTTTGGGACAACCTAATAAATTAAAGTTGATTAACAAGTCGACACCGCTAAATAATAAAACATGATCCTAAGAAACTGGACAAAATATGAAAGAATTTTTGGATGAAATGAAATTGAAATGCAGTATGTGAAGCTCTTTGGGCAGTTAATTACGAATCTGCATTCGGAATATCAAAATTCAAAATGGTGAATGCAATATGACGGACTTGTGTGTTGAAAAGTCGTTCGATTAACATGGAAATTGACAAATAGGCGACATAAGAATTTTTTTATTTCCGTTGTAGGTTTTTCGTGACGGATTCGAAAATTTAACAATTTTCCAGCCACGCTGCGGACCTGCAACGTGGCTGTTAATGTGCGCGCCAAATTTATTGGGTTCTATTGATTCCGACGTTCACATTTCAAATTTGCCTGATGATCGAGCAGTGATTTTAGAATTGAACATACTTAGACATCAACCGCAACCGAATTGGCCCCAGTTAATAAAGGTAATAATCCGTCCATTTATAACAATCAAGGCAATATCAATAAATTAGTATGATTTATTTGCTCGTACATAAATTTATACCGAATGTAAAAATAGGTAGAGTAGTTCTCATTAAAGTGAATAATGCTTTAGGAACAAAGGGTCCGTAATAGTTTAAAGATATAAAAAATTAAATTTGCAGGTCATCTCTATGAATGATTACGCAGTAGCCAAAATTTTATTAGATACTTTAATCCACGATTGCAGTTATTTTACTTCTGAGGATTATTTTGATAATTTAGAGCAATTGAGAGTTGACGGAAAGAATTGCGGCGGTTTTCTTTGCAACAATATGACATGTTATGGAACGTTAAAAATAACATCAGCGTTGAGTCTTTATAGTTTAATGCTTATTTTGACATCTATAGCGCAGGAACCTGGTCACGTTATTGCGCCAGCCTTGAGGCAAAACCATAATTGGTCTAATTATCTTGATCGGCAACAGGTATCTATTAAAATTTCGAAAATATAAATGGAACGCAAATGTTTCAAATTGATATAATATTCTGAAATACCATACACTGGTATACCATGTATATTTACGTAGGTTTGGAATCAATCGAGGCCACCATGGCTGAATGCAATTTTAAAGCCATTAAGCAATACGATGGAGCCAATTATCGAAATACTTTTGGAAGCAGTAAAAGTAAGTAATTAGTTTGCCATTACTATCGTAGTGGTTGTTACGATTTTTATTAGATTTATTGGACATTGGGATAATACTTTTTATCTAAATGACTCCACAATTTCTCTGTGATATTTAATGTTACTCAACACTTTAATATTATTTAGCAGCAACAACTTTCATAGTAGCTATTTACCGTATATATTAATTATTTGGCTTCCGTATGCTACGATATTTAATTTTTGAAATTTTTCTTAACCACGATGCAAAGACTCAAAAATAATCAAACAGTTGATAAATGTTAATTTCAAAATGACTGCATTTTAAACTTTTAGACAGGAGCTAGTATATATCAGACAATGTCGCTGGTAATTGGCTGTTTCGCTGAATTATACGTGACCTTACCCCCTTCAATTTTGAAGACTGCATTCGTATTGAACGATAATATTCCTGCCCATTGTCATCCAATCGGTGGTAACGTTCTCCTCCATATTCTTTGTGCATCTCTTTATACCGCCCTTCTGAACTTTTCGAAGAATTGCAAACCAGAGGTGGCCGAAACTCCAGCTTCCGATGGATCTAATAACGGGTCAAACTTGTTCAATTCCAACGATGCCGCAACAATCGTAATTGCCTTGGCTGAAGCTATCTGTAGCATCGACGAAGACAATAAACACACCTCTCAAATTGACGACTTTTTCCAACGCGTGAAGGAATAGTAAGTTTTTGTATTTATTAAAGGGCATAGTTGGATGAGGGGGATAAAATGTGCTCCTAAATCAAATTTAAAATGTGGTGTACGTTATTCGATATCGAAAAAAAATATTAAAATATTTAACTGAATAGTTGCAAAAGTTATAGAAATAATAAAACCATAGTTTACGCGGGTACAGTAGCCCGAAACGTACATCATGATTTAATAAATGAAATGTTTAAGCATTCAAACAACGGGTACAAAATCGCGCATTGATGAAGCGACGTGTACGTCTTCCATTATCGAAACGACCACCGACGAGTTATTGTTTACCAAGTTTGGCCGACAGGCCGTAAAAGTGCGTAGCTAAATGTTTATTTTTAAACATACCGAATTAAGCGATGTCTGCTTATAAATTTAGCGATACTAGTAGTATTGTTTGCATTTCAGGTGACACATGAATTTTTAATTCGCTCATCCGATCTAGTATTGAATAAACTACGACATAAAGACGCTCAAGAACGTTTAATTAACGTACCCGAGGTTTGCAATCTTTGCAAACCATTAACTTACATAATGTTTCACATCGAGGATACCACGTTCGATCAGGCGAGTGACGAAATTTTATACACTTTATTAGCTTGCAAATTAAAAAGTATAGAGAATTGAGAATTATAAAAACGATATTTACTTTCGTGGGCAACTTGAGTATGTAGTTATATTTGAAAAATTGGTAACAATTAATAAGTGCCTAAAGTATGACTTAACAAGTGCTCTAAAATTTTGTACCTGACAAGAAATTTTTGAAAATATGTTACAATACGTCCATTCTCGTTACAGTTCCTCATTCAATATGAAAAGACAAATTGGAGAAAAGCTTTAACAATGCCATTTTCCATCACGGTGGAACGTGCACGAAGTCAAATATTGTTGCGATCAGAATTCAGGAACGTAGCGGAATTGACGTACGAAGACAGAGAAGCAATGAATTCCATTAAAAAGATTTGCTCTTCTATAAAAACGACACACTTCAAATAGTACAGTTCTGTTTTACGAACATTTCTAAAAAAAAAAAAAGAAAAACTATAATCCATGCACAAATGGAAACAGTTTTATGATTAAGAATAATGTTGATAGACTACATAACAAGATTTAACCACTTCGTATTCTCCACTACTAGCAGTCGTCGCTAATAACCACGTCAAACCTGTTGATGCGATGTTAGATCTACAAAAAAAGAAAAAACTTGCACGTATTGTATGGAAATTCTAATGTATTTAAAAATAAAAACTATTTTATTCTGACCCCTTTATATATTAAAAGAATTATTTCGACAGTCCTACAGCGACATTAAAATTCATATCTTGCTTGCTTTCATAATTAATAATTAAAACCCTGAAGTATAGGCAGCAGCCATACCGTTCGTTATGTAGCTTACGGATAGAAGGTCGTAGGCGGCTGGACAACTTATTGGTTGGAGCAGACATAAGCGGATCTTTTCTGAAATCTCAGTGGAACCATTCAATGATTAGCTAATTTCTTCTTTTTGAAATCTTAAACAAATATATTTATTATTCATTTCATATTACATTTCATAAACGCTTCAGATAACGAATTGTTCATTTCTAAATGATTTGTTAACTTACTCCTTTCCTTTTATTGGTTTATACATATTTCGAAACTTGTCTTTTTATTTCAATATGCAGAAAATATATTTACATATAATAATACATTCATACATACATCTGTATTTCATAAACAATTTATTGTAATGCCAAAAAGTAAAGTCGAACAATACGAAAGTGAAGATATATTCTTTCAACAGTTAGTTCACGCATTTATTTTTATTAATAGAACTGTACTGATTACTTATAAAAAGAGACACGCGATGTCAGGAATATTTTTAATTCTTCACGCTTACGTCTTATCGTTGATAATTCGATTAATTTAATTGCGTTCGCTTGCAATAATCTCGTTTGGGAATGGAATGAGGTTATTCGTCTTTGTCGATGTCGCGTTACCCTCGGAAACGATGGCACTGTTTATATTTGAATGAATCAAATAAAACGAATGGTCCAAATTCACACGTGAAATTTACAAACAGTCTCACGTGCGGCAATAGTAACTTATCGATTTGTCCACTCTTGCGCGAATAATTAATGGGCGTTATGAAACACCCCGTCTGCCACCAGTGCAGTGGCTGACATACCGAAGGTTTGCATGCAGTGGTGTAGCATGCGATTTCACAATCGCGCAAATTTTTTCAATGGCTTCGTTAAGCTCTCGAAAGTTTCACGTCGTATTTCTTCAGTGGCATCCTATCAAAAGAAGTTCAAAACAGTTTAATAAGCGCGCATGATCCGTGTGAATATATTTTCCTCGAAGTTTGCACAGTCCTCCATAGATCATATTACACGATTATTGACTGATTACATTATCTTCGATGATCTTGCATAGTTTGCATACTCTTTTCACCAATCGTGCTAAGCAATCGTTGGTTAATTAAATTATCTTCAATTGTTTAGAATAATCTTGTAAAATATCGATTAAATAATTTGTTTATAGCTACGATCTGGTTAGTTGAGATCGTTTATTCCTTACATTTGGTCAATCCACTACTGTAAAGGATTACTTATCTGATATAAATTTTAGAAGAATTTCAATCTACGAATTAAATACTAATTTATCCTATCTAAAATATCTCTTTCAATATGTACATAATTCTAGTTGTTGATAAAGTAACTTGCCATCTTCGGGTATTATATACACCATCAAAACTAACTATACGATCGAATTATTAGATGCAGAAATTAATTTTGTGCCTCTGCATTCAATAATTTATAACTCTAGTTTGAACAGACGTGCCTGCGATAGAAGAAGGAAAGAATGAAATGACTTCAAACTCTAATTTATCTTATTATAAATAAAAATATACAACGTTCCGCTTAAAAAATCGAACGTGACCTTGATATTTTCGTTAAAAAGCATGTTGGCGATAAAGCAATTCATACATCGTACGTCCACTTCAAACAGATGCAACTTTTGTATGAAGGAATTTCGTGAATAATAATTCGTTTAAAAATTATTCAAGACGGAACAAGTTATTGCCCCACCCTGTACACAAAGTGCAATTTATTAGGTGTATGAATGAATTCTATGCCCTCGTATTCGATCATCTATAACTTCGGTTCAAGTAGAAATATTTAGACTCTATATGAAAGAATTTTTTTAACAGATCCGCGTAACAGTGTCAGCTATTGTTTAATTCATGCAAAATATTGTTATAGCATCGTCGTCGCGCCTTTAGCACGTACGGCCGTGGAAGAAACATTTCGCGCTCGCGCACATTCGCGTGTCCTCGGTAAGCTCGAAGTTACATATATAAACGATGCGTGCACGCAGCACGATGACTGAAACGGAATCCGCTGTAGTCAGTATAGTTCAGTGCGTTTGTATACATACATTTCATTTTTTTTTTCTTTTTTTCATGATTCAATAGCGACTATCCGAAGTTCACGGAGAAAAAAAAAAACAGGCGTAGAAAATGACCATTTTACTCCTTGATCTTTTCGGCCGATTAAAACACGTGTGGAAACTTTGGTACCTGGTTAATCCTCGCGAAACAACTTTTGAATTCGCGTACGAAGTTCCCGATTATCAACAACAGGTAACTAATATTTATACTATACCTTTGATTTAAATAAGTTAAATTTAATGTGAATTTAAATAAATGAGAGGTACTTCCTAATTATTATTGCTATTTATTCTTAATAATTATTTCAATCGATGCGAAATTTCAATGCAACAGGTAAATAATGTTTACACCATAATTCTTAGTTGTATATCTCTGTAAGTTTCATTGTGTGGAAATATCGAGCAATGAATTATTTTCGAATACTTGCCAGATTTTATTTAGAAAATATTTAATTTATTTAATTTCACTTTAATACTACTTAACGAGTGATTCAATCGATGATGATGATGTTTTTGATGAGTATATTCGTGTATATTGAAACGTATAATTCCATGGTCTTATCTGTATGTTGTGTATCCATTTAAGTGCGTATCAGAATAAATTACGCGCGAAACAAATAAGCCTTGTAAATTTTAACGTTCGAGGAGTTTCCTTTTAAATACCGCCTTGATTTCGATTTTATAAATTTACGTGATATTATACGGGGTATTAATTAACTCCAACGTCCTTTGTACTCGACAATTTGAATTTATTGTGTGAATCAATAAAAGGTATTTCCCAATTACTCGATCCACCTATATTATTGTTGTGCATTTCCTGATTAATCATAACAATCGATGCGAAGTTTCAATGCGATGCCTTTTTTTTTTAACAACAAAGTTTCTTGTGAAATGATAATATTCTATGGTAATGTAGCTAAGCATAGACTCTAAGACAACTATAGCCATACAAATAAGATAAACGTGTACGCAGGTATGGTTTCCGTTCTTCATTCTTATCATACTGGAGCAGATCATACTAAGAATGAAGAAAAAGAGGTTTCGTTTCAACGATCAAATAACATCATTATCTCACTGGATGTTTCAAGAAACTGGCCGGTAAGCATAGGTAACGCTTTTATTCTTCAGCTCTCATTATTACTATTTTATGTTCAAATTATATTTATAATTACTAGCTACAACTTTAAAAAACAATCTTAGTATTATTATATTCTCTTTTAAAATTGATCTATAAATGAATACAAACTTTTCCTTTGCAATATCGCTACAGATATTACACGAGTATTATTTTAATTCGAAATTGTTGCATATTTGATATATTCAACGTATCGTGTTTTCTTATCTTTCATTCATAATATAGCGATAGTGTTTAACATTTAAAGCTTTCTTCATATTATAATTGCTCAAAATCAATGTATAATAAAAAAAGAATACTGTTTAATATTTTAAAGGTATCTTCGCACCATAATTGTTCGAAAATATAATTAAACCCGAAAAGTATACCAAAAGTACATCGTACATGCTGAATATTATGAAATATGCAAAAAAATTCTCTACAATACCGAACACAGTAAAAATTACGTAAATTTGTATTCATACGCAAAGAAATGTTTTATGGACTTGCCGCTCTATCTACGTAAGATAGCGTTAACATTCATGATGATATGGATTAAGTATGCCTACGCGAATATTCGCTGCTCCGGTTAATGGTACAAAATCTATTTGCGTACGGCTGTTTTCAACGCGTATTTTTAGCTGCAGTAACCCTTTTATTTTTGACCATACACGATTAAAAGAAATGTTAAAATGTTTGTTCGAAATTCTTTTCACTATCAAAGTTTGATTACTTTTTAACGTTACAAACCATTATTAAAATTACCTCATTCGGTTTATTATTAATTAAAATTAAGTCTTTAGTCATTATTATTCTACTATGTAAAAAGTCCCTTATCCTCTTTGCCACTTCCCCAATTGATTCACATAACGAAGGCCTTGCTGTATTAACATTACACGTCCGTACTAAATCCGACTAATCGTGACGATCGAAATGATTTAACGTTAACTTTTCCGCAAAAATTTGCAGTATCCTCTTCCGCGGCGCGGAATATTACGTATACATCGTAATTTACGAGAAATATCACTGGTGGAATCTGCCCTGGAACTCAGCATGGACTTGGTGGATCACTGCTGTTGGGGTGGATTTTTGTTACTATTGGGTTCACCGCAGTAACCACGGTTAAATTCCTATCCAACCATGCGTGTCATTGTCGTCCCTCTAATTGACGAATTTAAAGTGTTTCTCGCCCGTTTGCAGAGGTACACTTTTTATGGGCTCACCATCAAGTGCACCATAGTAGCGAGGAGTTCACTCTCGCGGTTGGTCTGCGGCAGTCTGTGTTGCAACACTGGTGTAACTTCGTGAGTATCGCTCGTATTACATGTGCACGGTGTCCTGCGGTTATCACAAGCCGCAAGTGGAAGCGGGTGCAATCAATGCTCTCTAGATCTGCAGCCGCGTTCTCTCAAATTAACGAACATAAACGCGCCTGAAACGATCAACTTGAACGTTTACTATATGTTTTGTAAGTTATACACGCACGCTACATTTCTTTCGTTCTTTCAAACATCATCCAGGAACACGTGAATTAGATTAAACTCTGTCCTCCGGAAAATGACTAAATGAGAAACGCTAAGCGTTAGCAAAGTGTTGACCCCTTTAATCGTTTCTTGATCAATTCTTTCAGCATTATTATTAAAAGTAGATTCGTTAAGATTTAAACCCGTTAAAGGGCACGCATTCTACTTCCGCTAGATTGCTTTTAAATGAACGATGCGAGATTCGCATCGGTATCCTCTTGAAACATTTTTAAGCCAACGAGTATTTCGTCGAGTGCCATACAAAAGATATGAAATCTGTTTGCAGATGTTTTATTTGCCTCTTGCCTTATTTATATCTCCGTCCCATTTCATTGCACACAACCAATTCAACTTAATTTATCAATTATGGATTCATACGACAGTCATCGACGATCTTGGCCCGTTGGAATTAATATTTAATACTCCGAAACACCATCGCGTCCACCACGGTGAGGATTAATAAAATGCCACGACAATATTTGTTGTCAAAATCAGTTTTAAAGTAATCGTTGTATATTTGTTCTGATTCTTTATATTCGTATTCGAGTATACCGAGCGGTTTGATTGTGTCACGTGAATTAATCGTTATTATGAATTAACTGCAGGTTGTAACCTGTACTGCCTAGACAAAAATTACGGCGGAGTACTTATTATATGGGATAAATTATTCGGAACGTACATGGAGGAGAAGAAAGATAATAAAATAATTTATGGTTTGGTCGTCAGCCCTCAGTCTTTTAATCCGCTGTATTTGCAGGTGAGAAACGGCAATTTACGCCAGCATGAATGTAACTGTCCTCTATTACTCGGCCACGTATTCAAATTGACGAAGGGAATAACGAATCTGTCACGTAACACGACGATTAGTTACATAAACACGAACCTAATTTGACACGTTAATCAAAGGGATTAACAGTTTAACGATCGTTCGTTTCATACGTGACATGGAATATTTATTTCGCCTATCGAATCATAATCAGAAAAATACACGAATTCTAAACATATAATTTTCAACCGTAGTTTATCCTTTCGCTTGTGTAATATATTACCCGCCAGTTCGATCAGTTTAATCATTAAAACAAGTTTTCACGTAATTGACTCGTTATCTAACGGCTAATTTATTTTGAAACGTTGTAGACGTTTTACGTTTACCAAACAATCCAAAAGAGTTTACGGATGTCGTCCGTGGCGGACAAATTGGCCGTTTTTTGGAAAGGTCCAAGTTGGTTTCCAGGTTCTCCTCGCCTGGGTCTCGACGAATACAAAGTAAACGTAAGTTCTGTGTTTTATACATTTTTACTGTCGCTGAATTGCCACGGAACCATTACTTAGGAATATTTTATTGTTTATCATTTACTACGCAAAATTGATCGATTATACGATTCCGATGTATCGTTGCACGATACCTTGAAGCTACTTATATAATGTTAAGAATATCAATGAACTTATACAATTGCTATTTAGCTGTTAATGCAAATACACCATAAGTATACTGGTATTGTACAATAGGAAGACTAATTAAACCGGTTTGATTTTACAATGGAGCTTCTCTCTATCCACGCGTACGCTACCACTCGTAACATGAATATACAAAATGTCACATAACGTGTGGGAGCCTTCAGGAATAGTTTCAGTACTTAAGTGTATGTTCGTTCTCGCCTTGTTTTCGAGCTGTCCTGAATTCACATGATCGTTAGGTAACCGTTTATTGGTCGTTTATTGAAATACCTTTCAATGGATTTTACGTGGAAGAGATTCATCCCTGAAGTGGCATCACATCTTAAATCTTGTATTTCTTTCCACTTACATTTATAATGACGATAATAATAATATTATTATTATTGTATCCTATATTAATAAATTCACTAATTTACAGTTATGACAATAATGCTGATAATAATAATAATAATATTATTATTATATTAGACGTGAATATAATAATATTATTATATGCTCACTAATGTATATATAATATATATAATAACATTGTCGTATTCCTTACTTTCTTCAGGTCACAAACAGGTATAAATACGATAACTATGTGCCTGTGTGGCAAATCATTTACATAACTGTCCACTTCTGTCTTGTTTTCTACGAACACCTTCAATTATATGACGAAACGCAGGTAAGGTTTATTTTATTTCGTTCTCACGAATACTCCCCGTGCCATAATTTTCATAAACGAAATGTTTCAATTACAGTACCGTTCTTTAATTTCAAATGTTCGAATTTCGAATTTTCTTTTTTCACAGGAGTTAAAGTCTACGTATTCCACGATCATAGTTATCAATAACATATGTGCCCTCACTACCATCGGATTATTATTCGACAAATCGAAGTATGCCTGTGTCGCTGAATTTATAAGATGCTTGGTTTATTTAAGTTTTTTATTGGTATACGACGATTTAACATATCAATTGATAATACACGTCGCTTTAATGCATATCGAATTCACGATAACCGCGTGGTTGTACTCCGTGTATCTTGTATCCTGTTGCATTTGGATTTCGTATTACCTTATCGTAGGATGGAAATAAAAAACTTCTAATTCATATCGTAGAAAAGCTGATTCAATTAATCGTAATTCAATCTATATATATATTATACGTGTGTATGCTGTGTCTGAGCGTATTGAAATTTTATATTTTCTATGTAAAGTAAAATGAAATGTTACAAGTATAAAACGGTGTTGAAAGCGTTGACTCAACAGAGTAACATTGGTAAAAATAGTCGATGCATTATTATCTTTTTTTGTACGTACGTTTACATAATAAATGATAAATTATTTTATAATGTTATGCATTTGTTACAATTAATCAGTATTATGAAATGTATTATACTTATAATAATATGTAATAATTGTTGTATGTCAAATGTACCATAAATAAGACCACTGCTACCGATAGCTGAAGCGCAAGCGTTAACGACAGAGAAGACATCCTGCTCATGCTACATTCCATCGAGTCAGCGCAATCTATTAACATAATCTTCGAACATCCTTGAGCGTGGGCGTCGCGTATTGCGACGACCCTGTGCAGAATTTCTCTCCTCCTCGGACGTTTCAACTGCATTTGTCCTTCCTTTCATCGTTATCTATCGTAATCTGTAATTTAGGGAGGATAAGATGAATTAAGGAGAGTGAAAGATTCGACTCGAAACACGTCCTGCTAGTTGTCCTGTTTAGGGCAATTCTTCCAAGTTATCAAAGGTTTGAGACAATATAAGGGTCGAATGACGCGATGTCAGTGAAGAAGCTAGCTGTATCTGGAAGTCTGATATAATAATATTAGAATTTCTATGTTTAATATTTTATTATAATAAAATGATTTGAGGTAGTTTTGTCAAGGAGTGTAAGCAGCTTCCTTTGAAGGATTCGAGGTTTTGCGAACATAACTGTAACAGTGATATATCACTGTTCCAATGTTCAATCCCAGTTATTAAAAACTTTGAGATGTCAAAGAAAGTGAATTCGTATCGTAGGACTGTTACAGTAAACTGTATTGAAATTGTAAAATGCTTTCACCGTTTTTATATTTTATTTTAAGCAAACAACTTTGTGTACCTGAAATATTTCTTAACGCAATGCCGTTTTTCTTACAAAAGTTGCGTAGCATAAAGAAAGCTACAATTGAAGTTTCGAATTGATTTGTCATTTTATCTTTTTAAAAAATCTCCCCAACACATAGCTTTTCACGAATAACAAACAACTTTTGTGAAAAGCTGTTCACATTTTTCACCATAAATAAAGGTATATAAATGCATTCACTCTTTTATCATAACTGGCATTTTATTAATTATAAATTGTTAAGTAAAAAAAAAAATTAAGTCCTTATTATTAGTTTTTATATAGATTTATATTTCGAACGATGAAAAACAGACAGAATTTTAAAATAAACAAAACGAAACATCGTTAAAATCTTGGTATAACATACAGCGTATATGATTGATAATACATGTCGAATTTATCGTTAGCGTGAAAACGAAAGCAATATTTTGTATCGATTTAAATTCCGTATATAAAAACTGTCTGGAATATTTGTATGTATCATTGAGAACAAAACGTACACCGTTGACAGTTTTCTCTTAAAATCTTAAATATTACAATTTACGTATAAAATTTTCTATTCAACTAATATAAATTTGTTATTTCATAAATACAATTAATATTAACGCACGTCGGAGCTTACAAACGTTCCTCGAAATCATTATGCAATATAAACTGCCTCGAAATTCTCAAGAGTGTGTAGCGATAAAGATACGTTAAAATCGATAAATTTACAACACATGTCACTTTTATATAATACTATTATTATACAAATCGAACACGTAAATAACATTCAAAATACCATTTCATAAGTGCAACATAATCGTTATAAACAAACGGGAACAATCAAGCAAGACATCGGCGATCACCTACATAACTAACTTAGAAAGTAATGACAAGTATGTTGATGTAGATATAATATAAAACAATGAAACGCCATTCATATTTCAACATCAACAACCTTACAGTTTCGGTATTACAACTACCTTACTTAAGCATAATAAAGTGAACGTTCTTAGAATATATTGCAAAAAAAAAAACAAAGACAAATGCATTAATACCTTATCAAAATTATTTGTTATGTTGTACACATAAAGCATTTGAAGTGGTTTGGTAATACGTCGGTAATACGTCGGTAATACGTCGGCCTTAGCCAATGTTGTGACAAATTAATCGCGATGGTCCACTATCTGCAACGAAACGATAAGTACACTAATATTTCATAAAAACGTCGATCTCACGTTTCATCCGATGAACATATACTTTATCTTTCACATTATCAATTTATAGCAAACGATATTACCGTTACTTGTGTACGTATGAGTTCTACATTACCTCGTTATTAATATTTTGTTGGTATACATGAAAAAAGTATTTAATAAACTCGTGACAGTAATGTTTCGAAGCATTTACATTTTAAAAAAAAAAAAGAAAGAAATTATACGCTCTAGCTTTCAAAACCGCAGGAATCGTTTCTTTCACTTTGTTAAGAAACAGGAGAACGATATTGCTTCTTTTTTATTTTGTATTTTATATACGATATTATTTATAAACAAATTGTATTAATTTCTTTAATTTTGTTAAGAAGAGGGTAAACAACATTGTTTATTCTATATATGAAATTATGTAAAACCAAATGGCATTCGCTTCATTTAACTTTATCTTAAATATTAAGTAAAATTGAGTGTTAATCATTTGTTCTATTATATGAAAATTCTTTTATTTGAACAACTTTGTCCCCCAATTAGTCCACATAACGCAGGCTGTGCCGTACATGAATGGTTCAAATATCCATTCAATTACATGATCAACTGTAAAATTTCATTCTAAATTTTCGAGTTACTTTCTCACGAAGAATCATATTCTACCCGATAATGCTACGTGTAGCTGACAGGACACAGTGTTATTCGTGCAGTACGTACCTACGAAAATATTCCTATGTACCAGTACTTGGTGTCGTCCTCGTCTTGTCGCTTCTAGCATCGGTCTCCGTCGTCTCTAGCCTTTGCTCTAAAGAATTATCCGACGGTACGCCATCCGATTGATCGCTAGATCTTTCGTGACCTTCGACGTTCTGGTGTTCGAGTAAAGGCATGTCCAGAGAATCCGAAGAAATGCGTCTGAAGTTACCGGCGCTTCCGACCATGTCCGATTGAGCCTCTCTACCATCTCGAACGTTATTCAACGAATCGGAACTCAACGATGGAAAGTCCAGGGTCGTCTTCATTTCCAACGAATCGGAACTTCGGCACAGCGGGTTGTGTTTCACGTCGTTATTGTCCTCCAGCTCGAGAGAATCCGTACTCGTCTCCATAACGTTACTCTCCTTTTGAATATGTACATCCTTCGCCTCTTCCATTTTCGAACCGGTCTGCATAGAGACTTGCGGCCCCGTTTTCTCGGTATCCATAATTTCAATCTGCGAGATGTCCTCCGTGGTGTCGTCCTGCCGATCAAATTTCTCTACGTTCGATTGAGCAATGCGTATAATCTCGTCGATTTCCTTGATTCTCTTCTCGTAGTCGTCCGACCCTGACGTGCTCGGATTGAACGATCCTACCGCACTGGTATCGGCTCTCGTACGCGGCAAACTCTCCAATTTGTATTTATTCTCGGGACTCTCGTGCTCTAACAAGTCTTCCTCCTCTCTGGCGCGCAACTCGATCAAGTGCGCCTCCCTGCAGGCTTTCTCCAGCCCTTCGAAGTCCTTCAACGAAGACAATGAAACGTCGTCACCGTGACCCGACCGACTGGCCGTGTACCTCCTCGGAAGACTGCCATTATTAACGGAATCGTGCGAACCGCATTGGAACTTTTTCGAATTCTCAGCGGCAACGGCACTCTCCAGGTTCTCGAACTCTTGCAAAGAGCTCAGCGACACGTTATCGTGATCGGTTGGCCTCACGAAGTACTTCTTACTCGCTAAAATATCGTAGTCAGGGGTGCTCCCGAAACTACCCCGCATGCTACCAACGCTCCCTATCGATTCCTTCTGGCTACCCAAGCTCCCGAATCTGCTGCTACCGGGCTCGAAGTCGGTGATCTCCTCTTCCTTGATGTCCTCCAAAGGACCACGGTCGTACTCGATATCGTACACTCGAGCGTCGGCGTGAAACTGCATCTCTATCCATTTCTTACCGCCCTCGTACTGCTCCTCGTCCGAGTACGATTGCGAGTATTGCTCGTCGTTCGAAGCTTGAGGCGGGCTCTCCTGAGACTCGAAATCGAACAACTCGGCGTTCTTGATCGGTTGACTCGCGGGTACTTGGAACTCGGGCTTGTTCTCGGTTATGAGATTCTCGAGATCGCGATCGTAGTTCTTACTGCTCACTTGCGGCATCGTGCTGATGCGTATGCTCTTCCCCTCGGAGTCGTACTCTTCGGCTTCTCGACCGACTTCCTCGATGACCACGAAGTCGTCGATGATGTCGGGTTTGTCGACCATCTCGAAAGAGTCGCTGTCGGGCGAGTGACGACTCTCCTTCTCGATCACCGTGCTCACGGAGACAGCGGAGGTCGAGGACGTGGACATGCTCGCCTGTTGGACCAGCGACGGTGTCGATGCTTGCGCGGACACTTCGGAACTCTCGTTGAAAGGATCGGTTGGGGTATGTTTTCGTTCTACGAGATCAGGTTCCGTCGTTTGGGCGTCCAGCTCAATCTCGGGACTCTTCTCGATCGTCTCCTGATCGGAGCCCTTGCTCTCGATCTCCGTCAGGGACGCGTCGGTCGTAGCTTGAACCGATATCACTTGGGTGCACACGCTCTGCACGCCATCCTCGGTAATCCGCGACGTCATTATATCTACGGATTGAAGAGTCCCGGACGTGGGCGCGACGGTGGACGTAGCGGAATCTACTCCCTTGGTATCGCGCGGTACCGATTCCTGAACCTGATCGGCACCCTCGCTCTCTTCCAGTTGCGGGAAAATCATTTCGGACGATCGTTTCATGCGATAAGGTACGTGACTGTCGATCTTGTCCATCGATTCGTCGATGGGTATCTCGCTGCCCGAGGAATCGGAGTGCTCGGTGTGTTCGTCGTCAAAGGAACTCTTGAAATTGTCGTCCGCGTCTTCTTCTTTCTCGGCGTCCGCCTCGGAGGCCACCAGCGTTTCCGATAGCTCGCTGGTGCTGTCGATACTGCCCAAATGGCCAGAGCTCAGAGAAGTCAAGGATTTCATGGATTCGCGAGAGCTCATCGTGGTCGCAGCGGTATGGTACTCCTGAGAGGTTGGCTTCGAAGAGGATGTGTGCTCGAGCGACATCATCGCCGTCTCGTACTCGGAAGCCGTCGCTGAAAGCACACCGCCCGATTGCAAGGCTTCTATGTCGGACGAGCTGGGTCTGCTGCCGCTGCCGATCTCATAATCGCAAGATTGGTAATTGCTACTGTCGCCGGAGCTGGAGCCAACGTCTGCCTCGCTGTCGGAGGTGACCCTCTTCGAGGCTCTGCCGGGTTTGTGGCGTCTTCTGAGCACTGGACACGGCAAAACCAAAGACGAGCTCTCGTCTTTGTACTCTACGTCGGATCCTGATATACTAACGGGTACAGGACTGGGATGCTCCTCTTCGTCATCCTTCTCCTCGTGGACGGTTATTGCAGTCTCATCGTCGTACTTTTCGGTTTTGATCACAGGTGTTTCGCCTTTTGTTAGAATTATCGACTCTACGGCGCTACTGGACGCGGATTCCTCTACGTTGGTTTTACTTTCATCGGGATCGTCCGACGTCGGTGCGACTGGTTCCTGGGGTGCTGACTCGGCGATAGGACGATCGCCCTTGGTTGCGTTCGTGTCGTGTTCGGGCGACGGTGGTTTGTATAAAAATGGCAAGTCGTTCGGAATGGATTCGGGTTGCAACTTAAACTGAAACTCCGAAGGAGAATCTTTAATTTGAATCACAGTTTCACTATTTTCGCTTAACTCTTCTATCAAGTCTTGTTTCGCCGCTTCCAGGGACTCCTTCACCTCGGCGATCTCCTTTTTAACTACCTGATCTAAAACGGTGATCGCGTACCG